GAAGTGCTGAAAAACGCCTGAAAAATCCTGAATTGTAACACATGCCATCCAGTGTGGCTTAGGACCCCGCTGTCTTAACTACTAATAATAATAATAATAATTGATTATCATAAATAAATTACAAAAAAATTTAACAATCAAAATGCCATTGACCTAAGTCCTTCAGCCAAGGTAAATTAAGTAACAAATACATCTTTGGCTAATAATAGAAAACCAAACTTTATAATTGGATATATAATATATACATATATATTAGATATATAAATTATATAATATAATATATATATATATATATAATATAATATATATATTTTTCATTTAGGTAGTTTATAAACTATTCTTTTTTAAGGTTTGGAGATGATAGTATCTGTGTAGATGGTACCCATGGGTTAAACGGGTATGGGTTTGAACTTCATACAATCCTAGTATTAGATGACCTGCGGGAAGGATACCCATGTGCATTTTTGATTTCAAATCGAAGTGATACAGAAATTATGAAAATCTTCTTTGCCTGCATTCGAGATCAAATTGAAAAACAAATTGCCCCCAAAGTATTTATGTCAGATATGGCAGAGGCATACTATAATGCATGGCTGCAAATTATGAATCCTGCCAAGTTTAGGTAGGTAAGTTCTTTTTTAAGAAAGGTTCTTTTGTTGCCTTGTTAAAACGGCACCCTTGTTGTTTTTATAGCCTCAACCATGTATTATCAAGTGGTTTTTTCTTATAGAGTTTAACTATGTTATATTATTTCAGATTATATTGCACATGGCACGTAGATCAGGCGTGGAGGAAGAACTTAAATAAAATTCCTAACAAAGAAAATAAAGTAGGTTTAATTGTTTACTTATTTTAGTACATTAAATTAATAACATATATTTTTTAGGGTTTGGTATACAAAATGATACGTACGTTGCTTCAGGAAAGGGATATATATAGTTTCAAGATTTTGCTGCAAAAATTTTTAACATATTGCCAAGACAATCCTGAATTAATAGAATTTGGAAAATATTTTGAATTGTATGCAAATAAACCAGAACTATGGGCGTACTGCTTCAGAATCCACAGCAGACTTAATACGAATATGCACCTGGAGAGAATGCACCGTACAATCAAATATTTATATTTAAATGGGAAATTTACTAAAAGGTTGGATAAAGCTATAAGCGCCATATTAAAATTTGTTCGTGACAAAACATTTGAACGACTAATTGTGCTACATAAAGGAAAAGTATGTACCAAACTTTCAGACCTAAGGCAAAGGCATAAAAACAGTGAAAGTCTAGACATAAACAAAGTTGTTCAAACTGAATCAGGTTGGATGGTACCTTCCACATCAGGAAAAGAACTTTACCTCATTGAAGAATTACAGACTGAATGTCTTTGTAAATTAGTGTGTAGTCAATGTTTTGTGTGCATTCATCGATTTACTTGCTCCTGTCTGGACAATAGCATCAAATGGAACATGTGCAAACATGTTCACCTAGTAGCTAGATTTTTAAAACAAAATCATACAAGTATAGCACCAGAAGAAGTTTTTTCAGGTAATAATTTTGGTCTTATATTTTGGGTGTGTTTTATATTATGTTATGTGATTTTTGTCTTCAATTTAAGTGTATAGGAACCACAACAAAAATGAGTACCTATCTCACTCAGGTCATCTTCAGATTAATTTTTTTATGAGTAAAAGGTAATGATAACTTTATATTTTCCGGGTGGTGGATTTATTTTGGCGTGGTTTAGTCAGTTTAGTGGTTTTATAATTATTTTCTAAAATCTTTTAAGGTTTTTTAGAATGGCAGCATTTCATAACTCTACTTCTTTTAGATAACTTGGTCATTGACACAACTACCAATAACAAGATGGAAGAATCAACAAACTTGACAAAATCGGTTAGTTGCATTAGAAATGAAAATCAAATTCTTCATGAAGAACAGCAAAAACTTTTAGCAACCTTCCAACAACAGGTTCTTAGCACTCGTTCCTTAGAGGAAATTGAAAAAATAAAAAACATTATAGCCCCCATTAACCATACTTTGAAAGCAATAAGAAATAATAGGTCAAACCATTTATTAAACTTAAACACTGTACAAAACTTCCCCGGTAACAAAAAAATTGAGCCCCAAAGACGACTATTATTTAGGAAAACCAAAAAAAAGCAAAAGAAGAGAGTTCTATCAGCACCCACAACTGACGAAGGGGACATTTTGGCTCTCCAATTATTAAATAATCAAACTTAAGATGGTCATTCTCTGTAGTATTAGTTAGTAGTATTAGTTAAAAGTAAGTCCTAAATTATTGTAATATTTCATTTTGAAAAATAATATAGGGGAGGGTGGGGCAAAGTGAAATTTGTGATATGGCAACATTGCTTTACACTGAGCTTGGTTAAAACATGTGCTCTATTAGCACTTTATTGCATTGGGATGAAGACGATATGGTGGATGTTGTGAGAGCATATGTACCGCATATGATTGTATGTCTGATGAAAAATTGTTTAGATATTTTTTTATATTCTTCATATCAAATAAAAATATATTTCACTTTACCCCACGATATATTCCACTTTGCCCCATGAAAGGGTCAAAGTGGAACAAAATAAAATTAAAAAAAAAACAATGGTATTTGGAAAAACCATGATTCCAGAGTTTTCAAGTTTTTGTCATTTTTTGACAACATAAATATACCATTTAATTAACAACACAAGTGCCTTATTTTCAAATACTATGTCTACAATTTAAAAAAAAATTAAATGTTGTTCCGCTTTGCCCCACTCTCCCCTATAACTGGAAGAATATATAAGGTAATAAATAAAATTAAAATAGTTTTAAGTTTTTTATTTCTGGCATGTTCGCATGTTCCATATCTGATATTTATAAGAAAACCTACTAAAAATGTAATTTTGGGTGAGTATTTTATTAAAAATATTAGAAGAAGCTTAAAATAATGAATGTAGAAATATTGGGAGACACAATACTACAAAAACTAAGTGAAACAGGAAGTAAAACCCAAAATAAGGTCAATACATAATTCCAATAATCTAAACATACTTTCATTTGACTATTTTCCTACGCAGTTTATTTTTGGCACCTTTTTTAGTATTTACAAAGACGTTACGTTAATATAATAATTTTAAAACAAAAATTTCGAGATTTCATTGACTTCCAATACATGATGCAACGAAAAAAAGACTTTCTCTTCACTCCAGTGCTGAAAACTCGTTAAATGACAGAATTATTGTTGATTGCGCCGACGCGAAGCTCTGCAATTGATATGAGGGCCGTATACGTAGACGCTTGTGATCTTATATCGATATAAACTGCGCACCACTCATTGTGTAGCGACCAAAAAGTTCGTTCTTTTTCAGAACGACAAAACTTTTTTGTTTCTTGATCGATTTTATTTTGGTCTTTGATGTCTGCTAGCCTCATCCTCTGGTAATTCATGTTACAGATATGAAGCTCACGGTTCGTCAAGTAAATTTCCTACAGGGTGATATATCATATGTTAAACGGTGAAAAATTTCAAAAACTTCATCCAAGCCCCGTTTATAAAAAAATAATTTTTTTCTCGTTTTTATTTTGAAATAATGAAGTATTATGAGTTACCTTGAAATGTTTTTCAAGTTTTTCGAATTGGAATCTTAGCAACGACGATATGATTTTTTTTCGGATTTTATTAAGACATGGTATTTTACTTTTATTTATATGTGCAAAAAATAGATCTCCAGCTAAACCATCCACTGTTTTAGTATATCTGATATGAGAATACCATACCACATCAGCTTTTTGCAAGTAAATTCAGTACACAAATAGTATTGGGTGTCACAAGGCTTTTATAAATACAAAAGCAACATTTTATCAACATTTACATGTAATGTTGCAAAACCATTGTTAAAATAAATGTATCTAAAACATTTACAAAAATGTTGTCAAAAAATATTGTATAAATATAAAAAGTGGGACATCTATATAACATTTATAAATGTTGTAAAAACATTTAAGAGGCATTTAAATGATAAAGACTAATATTTCTAAAATATTTAGTTCATTTAGCAAACATATTCATTCAATATATTGAATGAGTATTTAAATGTCAAGCCCACATAACACAAAAATTTATTTAAAATATTATCTAAATAAATTTTTATGTTTAACACAAAAATTACAATATGTGGGCTTGACATTTAAATACAAACATTTAAGATTATTATTTTAAGAATATAAAATTTTAACGTTAACGAACGTATTATTTGTATTCAAAAGTCAAGGTGGTGTGAAGCTCCAAATTTGGCTCAAGGTGGGACTTTTTGGTGTGATCAGTGAAAAAGGATGCTAATAAAGTACTAGTACTTTTGGGTGTGGGGCATAGCTATGCACCACACCCAAAAGTCCCACCTTGGTTTTTGAATACAAATAATAATCTTTATGTCATGTATACATATATATATATACATATGTATAGAATGATTTTAGGTACTAGAATCTAATTTATCAAAAACTTAAATTAATCTTTATAAATAAAAACAGATTGAGAATAAGATAATTTTATTGTTCAAAAATCATGTTTGGTTATATTAAAACTTATATTCAAATTTATCACAATTTATTTATATCTAATACCTATAGTCTAGAACATGCACCATAAAATTTAAAATTGAAAAATTTAATAAAAATAGGAAATTATTAAAAAAATTATTTCTGCAAGATCATTAAAATCTTATAATAGAATATCACAGGAATAGATTGAGAACAATTTACTTTAGTAAAAAATATAATTTCGGCTTTGGCTTATAAAAACAATTAAAAAATACAGTATTTTGACGGACCCACTAAAACAATTTCCATAATTTAATACTTATTCCATGTTTTAATTATATTGTTTTTCAGTCTTTATAGTAGTTTAAAAAATAAATGCTGCATTTTTCAGTCTTTTTATATTGATTTTAAAGTTGCATCAAATTTTAATTTGTTAAAACCATAAAACTGTTAGTAATGGTCCAATTACATATTTAGGAGCAAAACTATAAAAACAACTTATTAACAATGAATACAAGGTAAAGGAAATTGCTAAATGTTACAATATAGCAAGAAACAATTTTATATATTTCGTTATTTAAAATAACTTTTACCATTTTTATCTCAAAAAAAATTATTGTTCTATCGGGGTAGGTGTGTTATTCATTGCTATTACGCAGGCGCCTGCTCTCCCCGTTATTAGTGGTGCCATGGTGGTCCATTCGTTTGTATTAGGATCGTATTGCTCGACCGTACGTAAGTAATGTCCCCCATCGTACCCGCCTATGGCGTACAACTTGTCCCCGAAGAGACACGCCGCCACGGCGTCCCTTTTGTTTGACAAAGATGCAACTGTTGTCCAAGCATCTGTACCTAAAAATAAATAAAAATGGTTTAAATTTAAGTAATTTGTTTTAAATAAGATTGTTGTAAATAATTTTCGATTTCGTTAATTATTTAATTTGTGTACTTACTAGGATCATATCTCTCAACGCAATCAAAACGCGACGCCGCTGGATTGTTCGCTGGTGCGTCCTGGCCGCCCATGGCATACAGAAAACCATTGGCGACCGCCACACCGACTCCGCCCCTTCTGCGCGTCAATGGGGCCGTCAATGTCCACTTGTTTGTGTGCGGATCATAACATTCGACGGTTCTAAGACAGGAGGCGCCATCTCGGCCGCCTACTGCGTATAATTTGCCGTTTAGTATAGCTATGCCGGCTGAGCATCGTTGGTTTTGCATTGGTGCCACATATTGCCAGGATCTGGCCGCCGGGTCCCACCTATAATGGGACAAATAAATAATTAATAGAACTAGGTAAATTAATAAAAGTATTTATTGTAAAATAATGGACAATTCACAAAGCAAACTCGTATGAATCTTAAATAAAAATTCACCGGCCGATAACTCTTTTGCCAGTAATGGGGAATTTTTGATAAAAATCATTAAACATATTCTACAAAAAAAAAAATTACAGTTACCAGTTCGGATTTAACAATATCGAAACAGACAACCTAAATGGAAAAAAATCGGCAGCACTGTTCTTTTACATAAGGAAGGCATTTGATTTCATTAGGATAAAGGGTCTATTGTTCAAACTCCCTCACATTTTATTTAAACTATTAAACAATAAAACCTTTATAGTCACAGTCGGAAACTCCCACTCAAAACCTTCGTCACCAAGCAAGGCCTACCACAAAGTTCTCACCTTTCGCTTTTTTCTTTAACCTATTTTGTTTCTACATTAAAAACGAGCAATGCTCTTTAAGTCTGGATATGTAAGGAGAATTAGTATGAGTATAAGAGACATATAACCGGCATCATTGCCTCATCGCTCCCGGGCCCCGCATAGGCCTCTGTTTCCTTGCGCCGATTTTCTTTCGCCACCAGCAACGGCGCTGCTTCACCCGTGTTTGCTGGTTGCGAATGTCCATTGCGTCCCGTACTGTCCCCTAATTAGGGCTCGGGAGCGAAATGCCAATAGTTTAGTAGCCATTCCCGGGTGCGCCGAGCCGATGCTATACGCCCAGAGTCATGAAGGAGGTAGGAAGGGAGGGTTAGACAGTTTGGTGTTAGGGGGACAATTTCGCCGACCGGGAAGTTAGTATTACTCCAAACATTTGGGATTACTGTTTGGAGTTGGGGAGTTGTTAGTTCACTGCAGAGGCCTAGTTCGCTGCAGGGGCCTAGTTTACTGGTCGTGGTCAACGTCTTGACCGTTATTGTCTCTGTCCGTGTCGGGTCTTTCCTGCACTTGTTATTGTCTTGTATCGGCTGTTTTCTTTCGCGTTGCAACCCTCTCTTTGTATTAAACAGTTGGTGTGCAATTGATGGAAGGTATTTTTGACTTCCTCTGTATACTAATGTAATTACCAATTCCATTAGAATTCGGTTTGTGTGTTTATTTTATATTCTGTGTTTATGTTTTCTTAATTGGACGCCTTTCTGCAGAAAGGAACCAACCCACAAAACCAAAAAAAATCGAGATATTTAGCCTATGAACTAATTAAGTATGTATAATTCATCTGCAAAATAGGTCATAGCCAAAATGCAAGTGTAGTGAAATCTATTAATCATTGAACCAACCAACATTCAATAATAGTGTGGATTACTAATCCAAAATTAGAATCTGTACAGTATCTGCAAGTGGGTTGGATCTTTTTTGTAAAAAAGCAGGCTGGTAGACCCACTACCAAAGTCTTTAAAGATTTCCTGCTTCTGCAAAATATAAAGTCTTGATGCATTTTTTTGGTAGCTTACAAGATGAGGTGGGGTTGGAAGATGATGTGAACGAATTTCAAATAGAATCAAAATTAATTCATATTACCATTATAATAGTAATATCAGTTGTATTTTGTTTGGAAATAAATAATTGTCGCTTTTCTTTAAATACATACATACATCAGATAGTAGTTTTCATAAATTGCAGAAAGGAACCAACCTACAAAAGCCCATTTTTTTCGTCACCCTTACACATAACATCACAAAATCCACCTGATGAAATTATTAAATTATATCCTTTAAACCTCCGAAAGTCCAAAATCGGCATAAAATTAACAGGTAATTTTAAAATTATTAAAATCTTTGATAGCTTTTTTCTCAGTTTCATCATTGTGTGGGTTGGTCCCATTCTGCAGAAAGCCGTCTAATTTAATGTTCGTTTGGATTTGAAGTGTTTATTTAATATCATTTCGTTTATGGGTTTGGTCTTGGTTGTTTGTTATTGATTTGATTTATTGTCCTTGTCAACTTTCCTGTGATCGAGTTAAGAGTTGGGGCGGTTTTGTTTTGTTTTTTTGTTGTTGTTTTGTTACTGTTGTCTTAATGTTACTGGTACACTTTTTCTAAAACAGTGAGTAAATTTATGAACTAATTAAACTGCTCGTCATAAAAATCGACGCACCTAGTTTTTTGGAAAATATTTGAAAGCTCGTTATTGAAAAATTACTGAATCAATTTTGAAAATCTTTGGAAATTCTGAATAGCTGATTCTTTGACTCTTATGTCAAATTTTGAGAATACGATATTTTACACATAGCATTATACTACAGGGTGTTAAACGAAGAGATGTATTTTTTCCGAAATTTCAAGTTATTCCCATTCATGAGGCAGTTGAGTTTGATAGTCGTAATACCCCTCCCTAATATAAGTAAGGTAATCCCTCGGAACGTTTTCGAGATTTTGTGAATACTACGATTATATGCCAATTTATCGAAAATTGTCGTTATTTCCCAGTTTAGTCCAAAAAATGAGCAATAGTGGATTCTTTGACTTACGTCTAATTTTGAGAATAAGATATTGTGCACATAGCATTATACTACGGGGTTAAAAAAGGGATGTTTTTTTTCCCAAAATTTCAAATCCCCATTCACAGGGCAGTTGAGCTTGATAGTCGTAATACAGTTAGGTTATCCCTCGGGACGTTTTCGAGATTTTGTGAATATCTTGGCTAACTACGATTATATAGCAATTTTTCGAAAATTGTCGTCATTCTCCACTTAATTCCCAAAAATGAGCAAACTACGAAAGGTATCGATTAGTTATCAACACATCGTTTCCCCAACTTGCAGAAAAAGAGGGCAGGCAGCTCTTCGTCTTGCATGGTATGCAATCTTACATCAATCATTTTATTTTTTTAAATATGATTTGCTGTTTAAAAAATGTTTTATATTCTACGACAAAATTGACAAGAATAATTAAAGGAAGGAAGCTCCAAACCAGACTATTTCATAGTCAACTGATTGCATGAATATAGCCTGCATAAGTTTACGAGAATAATTTTGTTTGGTTTGCATTTTTATTTTGAATTTAACCGAAATAAATTGGTTTTGTGTGAAACATTTCACTTTTAATAAATCACGCAAGAAAGAAAAATCCAAGATATCCACAAAATCTCGAAAATATCCCGAGGGATTACTTGTTATTAGGAAGGGGTATTATGAATATCAGGCTCAACTGCCATGTGAATGGTGATTTGGAATTTTGGAAAAAACTTTTTTTTTTAACACCCTGTAGCATAATGCTATGTGCACAATATTGTATTCCCAAAATTAGAGATAAGAGTAAAAAAATCAACTATTGCTGATTTTTTGGACTAAAATGAAGAATAACGTGAATTTTCGAAAAATTGCCGTACAATCGTGGTTAGCCAAGATATCCATAAAATCTCGAAAATGTCCCGAGGGATTACCTAACTGTTTTTAGGGAGGAGTATTAGGATTATCAAGTTCAACTGCCCTGTGAGTGGGGATTTGGGAAAATACATCTCTTTTTTTAACACCCTGTAGTATAATGCTATGTGCACAATATTGTATTCTCAAAATTAGACGTAAGTCAAAGAATCCACTATTGCTCATTTTTTGGACTAAACTGGGAAATAACGACAATTTTCGATAAATTGGCATATAATCGTAGTAAGCCGCGATATTCACAAAATCTCGAAAACGTTTCGAGGGATTACCATACTAATATTAGGGAGGGGTATTACGACTATCAAACTCAACTGCCTCATGAATGGGAAAAACTTGAAATTTCGGAAAAAATACATCTCTTCGTTTAACACCCTGTAGTATAATGCTATGTGCAAAATATCGTATTCCCAAAATTTGACATAAGAGTCAAAGAATCAGCTATTCAGAATTTTCAAAGATTTTCAAAATCGATTTAGTAATTTTCCAATAACGAGCTTTAAAATATTTTCCAAAAAACTAGGTGCGTCGATTTTTATGACGAGCAGTTTAGTATTACTGTCGTTGGAGCAGAAAACCTAAACTGTAATGATGTTAATTTGGTCATGCATTTAAATTTCACGTATAAAATGACTTTTGCAATGTAAAATCAGTCGATTGCAAGTTCTTTGGTGTAATCATTACACTGTAATGTTTCATTATAAACTTACTGATGGTATTTCAAATAACTGATGTGCAGGTTTTTCTTTCTTTTCAAATTAAAACAATTTTCAACACAGCACACAACATCCAATAGTGATTTTCTCAAATAAAAATTTGAAATTTAAATAAAACCAAAAGTGCTTGTCAATCTAATCTAAGCGCGGTTGATTAATAATCATTTGTGCGCATTGTACACTAGCTTCCCCTCCTTTATCACGCTGTCAAGCGACGCTTTTCCTATATATTCTCTTATGGGAGTTGAAGCTCTTGAATATAATCTTCTTAGATAAATTAATGAATATCGGCCAACTTCATGGTGTCGCTAGTTTCGTTCAAAGCTTTGATGTCACTACCATTTTAACATAAAATGTTACTCTTAGCGCGCCAAAAGTAAGTAAATTTAAGAAGAAGACAAGGTAAGTATAAAATTTTCCGCAAACCCTCCCTAAAAAAATCCTCCACCGTCTGATAATTTGGTTAACCACTGTTTACAACGAGGGGTTTTGACCAGAGATATCTTCTTATCTCTGGTTTTGACTCTCTTGCGAAACGAAATGCTCCAAAACGTTGAGTAACGCGACCTTAAAATTTTACTCTCAATTTTCGAGGTGCCGCTAAAGAAGTTTCTCTCCGCAATTAAATATGACGAATTTGACAACGTCGCATTATTACTGATATTTTTGGAACCCTGTATATGACGTCACTTCCATTTCAAAACCTCCGTTAAGAAGCATAATATACATAATAATATATTATACATATTGAAGCTATATAGCATATCATGCTAAAAAGGATTGAGAAGGTTCCCAAATCGTTATAAATTTTTTGAGCAGCATTAAAAATAAGTTAATATTATACATATTGAAGCTAGGGATGCACCGGATCGGGTATTTTGCCGATCCGGCCGGAACCGGAATTTCGGCCGCTGGCCGGACCGGATCGCCGGAATTCCGGCCGGATCGGGACCTAAATTTAAAATGTATGTGCATGCCTATTTTTATACGTAAAACATTGAAAATATTGAGGCTGATTTATTTTTACTTTTTTTAAAACTAGCTACAGTATGCAGAGTGTTTATTACTATTAATTTTACCTAGATAGAAATTACTGTTTATTTAAATATTAATTTTTAATTAGCGTTAACAAAATTAAAACAATTCTACTCATTCAATTGGAGAATAGCAGCCACCTGCCAATAATAAAAAAATTAAAAAGAAGTCGGGGAACCACAGCAAGGAAACACGCACACCCTTCTCTGTTGACCAATTGCAAAATATATCTGGAAAGCGATCCGGCCGGAACGGTAGTTCCGGCCAACAGGCCGGATCGGCCGGATTTAGTGGTACCGCCGGAATTCCGGTGCATCCCTAATTGAAGCTATATAGCATATTACGCTAAAAAGGATTGAGAAGGTTCCCAAATTGTTATAAATTTTTTGAGCAGCATTAAAAATAAGTTATTTTGAAAATAATTTTTTCTATGACCACTATGTAAAAGTCACATTTCGTAATGGCTTAGAAAATGAATCTTTTCATTGGAAAAACAAAACAAGAATGTAAAGTTACATTTCTGTGTGAAAAGTGTCAGGTCTGTGTGAAAAGAAATTGACAGCATCGTTTGACATTCGTTTCAAAACTTGTATTGTATTTGTTTATGAACGTTCGGGGAAATAATTATCTTTCCAGTATCTGTCCGATTTCGCAGGTCTAAATACTTTTTTTTAATATTTTTCTGAAAGTTAATTTAAAAGCAAAAATTGTGAAAAAATACGTCCTTTTAAGTAAATTTCTAAAAAAATTAAAGAAATTTGTTTTCTTTCAAAATATTTTCAACTGGTCTTTAAATGATAAATATTAATTATCCTTTCTAGATAAATAAAGTAACAAGTATACATTGGCCAAGCTGAAAGCTTTACTAAAAAAATAGAATATTATTTTAAAATACCTTTCTACTGTATTGAGGTAACTCCAACCATCATGTCCTCCTACTGCATACAAAGTACCACCCAAAACAGCAACACCCAATCCATGCCTATGTGTATTCATGGGCGATAATTGCGTCCAAGAACCACACTCCATGTCTAAACATTCCATGGTGTTTAATGTTTTCAAACCATCCCTCCCACCAACAACTAATAACCTATAAATTTGAAATGGGAATAAAAAACTTAAACTTAATTATATTTTATACTTGTCTCCCATTAGTGCAATTCCAAACTGCAACCTCCTTCCACTCATATGAAAGGCAACCGTCCATACGTCACATCGCGGATCGTAACTTTCGATAGTCGTCGCTCCTTTATTTTTGTCCATACCCCCTACAACAAATAACTTCCCCAAAGTGGCTTTTCTGGGCCGCGTTCTTGCGCACGTCATCTGCAACCTCCTCTCCGGAAGAAGGTGCCATTTCATCGCCTCCATGATCAGTTTTTGACAGGTATGATCGTTACCTAAACATAATCAACAATAAAATCTTATTGCTACACATCTTAGAACCTTTCATTACCTACTATGGGCTCCACGTGATCTGTAAGGAAGGCAGGACTAAGTAATGGCAGTTTAACTAGACCTAAAAGGTGGCCAATGTGTTCTTTTCGTGCTATTGGTTCGTGTTTAACCCACCCCATTAATGCATGGAATATGTGTTCTTCCGAAGTTACATTTAAATCGTCGTTACTTAACAAGCTTGTCATTTGCTCAACGCTAAGCTGTAGAAACTCTTGATTCCTTATCACCTAGAAAAATATATGAAAAACATGACGTTTCTGTAAAAAAACTTTTAATAATTCTTTTTAAGGGTGACATTCTTCCTAATAATAATAATAACAACCTGCATAAAATGTTGACTTGTGTATGCATTGGCCTCCAAAAGTAAACTAGAACAGCTTTGGTGCTCTGCAAAAACAGCGATGCCTAAACAGTTACTCGGGTGAAGCTGATGTGCCAAAAACCTTGAACACGCCTCAACCACCTCATGCAGCAACATCAAACAGGCAGTTGCCAGTAAAGTCTCCACATTGTCCTCTCTTATTTCGATGGTCCCTGAATAGCAATAATTTATAACAGCTTGTAAAACGTCGCCATTTACGTCTCCTAATGTAATTTCCGATTCTTCAGAGTCCCGTAAGCTGCCAGTAAACATTGTCGAGAAATATTCGCTTGCAGCTGATAAAACCAATCTACAACAAGAATAAATGATTAGCTACAAAATACGTGAAATCGACCACTTTTGAACCCTTTTGATTTGGCTGTCTTTTTTGAACTTTTTCTACCTCACTTAAAAAGTTTCTTACAAATTTTTCAAATTTTTTCACCAAACCAAATTTTTTTTACGAATTCGTCAAAAAATTGCTCACTTTTATTTTTGCTTTGTTTGCTTTTTATTTGACTGAATACATATAAATATTACATTATTGTATTTTATTTAGTTATATGGTTTATTCATGTTTTTGTGATACATTTTGTTTTGTTTTTTAGAGTTGTTATTTTTTAAATAATTTATTTTAAATAAATTCTTTTAATTTAATGTTTTTCGTTTTTGTTTTATTGAATTTTAAACAGTTATAAATAAATTATATGAAGGTAAATACAAATTATTGTTTTATGTACCCTATGCGCATGACGGGTATAACTTAACCAAAGCTTGGACAACCGAGAGTGCACTCTGGGCATATACTTGCTGTTTTAGAACAGTTGACAGTTGCATATATCTAGGTATATACCAGAGAAATCGAACTCGCAAGGTAAACTTGGAGTTTATCCAGAGTGCACTCTTGCGCGCTCCTGGAGCGCGTTCGAAAACTCGCAAGAGTGCACTCTGGAAACACTCCAAGTTTACCTTGCGCGTTCGAATTCTCTGGTATATACCTAGATATATGCAACTGTCAGCTGTTCAAAAACAGCAAGTATATGCCCAGAGTGCACTCTCGGTTGTCCAAGCTTTAGACTTGGTTAAGTTTTACCCGTCATGCGCATAGGGTACATCAAACAATAATTTGTATTTACCTTCATATAATTTATTTATAACTGTTTAAAATTCAATAAAACAAAAACGAAAAACATTAAAATAAAAGAATTTATTATAATAAATTATTTAAAAATTATCAATTCTAAAAAACAAAACAAAATCCATCACAAAAACTTGAATTATCCATATAACTAAAGGGTTGAAATTCAATAATTTAATATTTATATGTATTCAGTCAAATAACAAGCAAAAACAATTGATTTTAGAACACTACAACATGAAGTTTGTAGGTATATGCTCCGCGGCGTTCGAAAATAACAAGGAGGTCAGGTATAATGTAAAGTCACATGATCCTATCCTTATACCACATCCAAAGTACACTCTCATTTCGATCGCACTCCTGTGGTGTTCACACGATGCAACCAAATTGACTCTATTTTCTACTAGAATTGCCAACTTCACCGAAAATTCCTAGTGGAAAAATAAAAATACCCAAACAAAATTAATGTTTATTTAAATTGGTTTTTGTTTTACTTTTAAAATGTTATCCATGGTTTTTTTATATAAGTATTTTGTGGTGTGAAAACCCTAAGAGCCTGTTTGGTCATCTGTCATTCCACAGCTGATAAATATTGAGGACCAACCAAAATATTTAGTGAAAATTCGCAAATCCCCATAAAAGTTACTAAGTCGCCGCGACCTTATTGCATGAAAATAGAACATGTTCTATTTTAGGACAAGTTAGATCAGCTGATTAGTTGCATTGTGTGAACACAAAAAAAAAACGAAGTTGCACGGTCAGACATAGGCTTAAATTGATTTTATTGGAAATCCAAAAGGCTAACGACTTTCGTCTTCCTGCCTTGATTTTATTTACATTAAAAATAGTTTTTTAATTAAAAAATAGAAAGAAAAGTCGCCCCACTTTTGAAAAAGCTGCATTAATCGCAGAATAAATCGTTTTTATAAAAAAATACAAAATGGCAAAATAAAAACCTGATGTTTTTCTCACAAAAATCAAAACAATTTAAAAAACAAGTTCCATTTAGTGAATTTTTAAAAAAGTATTTGAAAAAAAGAGCCATTTTTTAAATATAAAAACGTACTATATGGACAACCCCTTAGTGACTTTTGGCAGGAATATGACATTATTTAACTAAAATTAGTTTTTATCTCAATCTCAATTTATTCATAAATAATTTAGTAAATTAAAATAATAACAAATTTAAAAAAAATCTATAAATATTTTTCTTAAATCTTCTTTATTAAAAACTAAAAATAGGACAATTTAATACAAAAACTTCTTTATTGTCCAAATAAAAATAAACAATCTTTTGTTGCAGGTTCTTTGTTCAAAAAATTAAAAAATAAGTTTTCTTACTTATGTGCCTGAACTCTCCTACCATTAGTCCCTGCTATAAGTGTAATATCACATAATTTTCCAGCTTGTAAATAGGTTTTCATGCAGGAAAGGCTATGTTCGGCATGTCCCTCACATCGAAAATGTTCATCCTGGGATGTTGTTGAGCCAGAAGAAAATAAAGATAATCTGCTTATATCTCTGGGAAGATTGTCGCTAATACTGCCATTTACACTGACTGATTCCTTACTGGGGCTGCTTAAGCTACCTGATACAGACATTGTTCTTTGTTGTTTTGAATTAAATATTTTTGATTAAATTATTTGAGATAGATAACCTGCTTAATACTAGATTTAACACCTATGTATTTCTACGATTGATATTTAAATTTAAATTAATAAATTAAAAAAACTTTAAACAAACATTTATAAACACCTCTAACAATAAAAACGGAAGAGGAACTGTCAATGAGATGTCATTGAACCAAAAATCGGAGCAACAACATGTTAAAAATAAAATTAAAATTGTGTTTTTTAAAATTAAGATTAAACAATAAAAGCTAGTTATAATTCTCTTACATTGTTTATAATATAATATATAATACCTTAAATTCATTTTAATTTATCTTATTTTTATTATAATTAAAATTTTTATATCTAGGGGCTTTAGCATTCTACAGTTCGTTATTTTTAAAGGGGTAAAATCACTAACGTCAATAGTTGTCAAAATTAGTGAGAATTTGTAAATTAATGAATAAAAATGAATTGTTTACTGATATTTGATCATTTAAATGACATTATTTATACAAAATACAATAAAGAATTCGTCGAACATATAAATGAATTTGCTGTGGCACAATGTTTACAAGAAGAGGTATGTTTTGCTTAGTGTTGATTATTTTAAATATTTTCTAATATAATTTTAGGTTTCCCAAGAAAAAATCGACGAAAATATTATTGTACAAATATTTTCCCCCATTATTACTTCTCATAGAATTATGAGTTGTCAATTTGGAAACTCTTATACTTCCATAAAATGTCTGGATGGATTAGATATTCATTTTGATCAGGTACCTACCTATTTTATTTCAAATAAAATTTGGCCACCAAATTTTTCGTTATCATTTTTTTGAATTCACAAAATAGGTTATTTAATTTTTATGGCCGCCAATGAAAGCACATGTGCTAAACAAAAACAAATTTGGTGAGTATTGTCAACACTGCAGTGTTGACAATACTCACCAAACTTGTTTTTGTTTACTTTTTCCCAATGATAGAATATCATTGTCCATGTAAACACAAAAAATATAACAAAAACTCGTCTAATAGAGCAGAAATACTGTGCTCCCATTGGTGGCGATTCCATGATTACTAACGAGACAAAAAGAAACAAGACAAAATGTTTTATTAATATTTTTGAAGATGTGTTGTTCCTATAACAATAATTTTATGATACCTAGTTATTATTACTTAATTTTATTGCTGATAACTATCATAAAATTATTATTATATATTCTGTTGGTCCCATTAGTAATCATGGAATCGCGCTCCTGCAATTTTGCAAATTTAAATAAATGGTAAAGGAAATTTTGTCTTGGATTTTTGCAAGGAATTTACCTTTTATTTGGTTCTGTGATTTTGGGACACCCTGTATGCACAGGGTATCAGTTGTTTAAGGCTAAGCATTTGTATATTGCATATATACCGTATTTTCATTTTTCCTGTAGACGGTTTTTAAGAGTGGGAGAATAATTTTTAAGAGTGGGAGACGCCGAGACTCTCGGCCCGAGAGAAGGGGTTTGATAGACTATCACCCAACGCCGGTGAAGGGTCCACTACTGAATTACGAACACCGTCTCTCGGGCCGAGAGTCTCGGCGTCTCCCACTCTTAAAAACTCACTGATAGTCGAAGTTTGCCCTGGATTATTAATACGAATTACGCATTTTTAAGTTAGTTTACTTGTAAAAATGATTCAGATACTTAAAACGTAATCACTTTTGCATTTAAGGGGCCGTCCATAAATGATGTCACACGTTTTTTTAAATATTTTTGACCGCCTAGTAGGCGACGTCTACGGCATGCGGGATTGCCGCGGCAATCTGCTTACAATGCATCTGGGGAGGGGCGATTGTCTTCACTCGGGTTTACTCGAGTGAGTGAGTTTACATTGAAAACAAAGCTTTAAAGTATAAAAGTTTACATAATTTTTTTTCTTATTTTATCTGAAGAGCTACAAGGTCAGTTAAATTGGACAAAATTTGGGTAATAACAATCCCATTAACATGAACATCATATATTGAAACAATACCCATAGAAGTATTATACACATTATAATATATAATATAATATATAATATATATAATTGTATACACTATAGTGTGTATAATACACATAGAAGGATACTTGGTGCACCCTGGAGCGCGTTCGAAAACTCGCAATAGTGCACTCTGGATACACTCCAAGTTTACCTTGCGCGTTCGAATTCTCTGGTATATACCTAGATAAATGCAACTGTCAGCTGTTCGAAAACAGCTAGTATATGCCCAGAGTGCACTCTCGGTTGTCCAAGCTTTAGACTTGGTTAAGTTTTACCCGTCAGGCGCGTAGGGTACATCAAACAATAATTTGTATTTACCTTCATATAATGTATTTATAACTGTTTAAAATTCAATAAAACAAAAACTAAAAACATTGAAATAAAAGAATTTATTATAATAAATTATTTAAAAAATATCAATTCTAAAAAACAAAACAAAATCTTTGATTCATTCTGAAGAAGTCACTGTGTGACGAAACAATTGTCAAAAGTAAATAAAACACGTGAAACTTTCAAAACATATTTGTTTTTATATCTACATAATAATAAAACAAAATCTATCACAAAAACTTGAATAAACCATATATCTAAAGGGTTGAAATTCAATAATTTAATATTCATATGTATTCATTTAAATAACCAGCAAAACCAATTAAATTTAGAACACTACAACATAAAGTTTATAGGTATATGCTCCGCGGCGTTCGAAAATAACAAGGAGGTCAGGTATAATGTAAATTTACGTGATTATATACCTATCCTTATACCATATCCAAAGTACACTCTCATTTCGAACGCACTCCTAGACCGTATACAGGTTATACTGTATATCTATACATAAAGGTGTATCACTTTTCCTTAAAATTTAGAATGAAATACAATACCAATAATAGCTTAATCAAGAGTTTGAACTTTGTTATTACTGCTTACAAAAAACAGGTTCGTTTATGTTTTCTGGTATACAAATATTTTACTGCTTTTATTACTTGAAAATTATAATTAAATAGTAAAATGTTTATTGAACATTACTCGTATTAAACACTATCCAAAGCTTAATATTTGTTAAGAAATATAAAAAATTTTGGAAGTTTGTCTTATAATTTTAATTTATTTGCTTATATTCTTTGTTTAAAGCACCAATTTAGTTTAAAAATATAGGTATTGGCAACATAATATTTTTTTGAGAATTTGGGAACATTAGGCTTTTTTTGTGCTATTCTGGAAATTTTGTCTGCCCCTTTTCTTTCCAAATTTTGACTTAAATTTAGTTAGAATAAAATGGGTGGGATATTAGAAAACATATTTTTGATAAATACCCATATTTTTATGTACAAAATTAACCAAGAATAATATTTTTTTTAGTACATGGGATATTTATTCATAGCTATAGACAACTCATCAAGAATACGAAGATATCTTAATGTTTGTATAACAATAGCAAGATATTTGTGTGGCCCAGATGTTTATCAGTTAGTTTAACACATTTTTTTTTTATTAATAAGAGATAGTGCTATTGAATTGTTTCTAGATTAAAACAACAAGAAAGTAAAGCAGAACTGGCTTCAAATTTAATAGATAGCTGGGTATATCTGCACAAAAATGACCAAGCCGTACTTATTGAGGCAGTTGAACAATTAATAGTTAATTCAGATTTAAGTATGGCAACATTAAAGGCTTTACAAGAGTCTGTTGATTATTTGGCTCCTCAAATAGATTGTAACAAAATTCATGCCCTTGTCTTGGTACAAAACAAATTCTTATCTTTATATTCCAGGTACCTATAATTAAAATTGTATTTTTAGGAAGCATTTAAGTATTATGTAAATTTTAGCATTTTGACCACTTCCCCATTGTAAGTTACAATTTGTAACACAGAGTAAAGCAAACAAATGGAACTCCCGTTCCTTTTAAAACGTCACATAACGTACATTTTACAAAAAAAAGTGTTAAAAAAGTTCTTTAAAATTAACTAAAGTGATTTCATAAACATAATATTTATATTTTATTTCTCTTTTTCACATTGAATTTTTTTTATATTTATTACAAAATTTTTAAATTAGTTAGTTTTTGTGTTACATGACAGGAAGCTGTCCATTACGGTGGTAAAAAATATGAATATTTTTAAAATTGAAAAGCCTGTATATACTTTAATATAATTTTAAAATTCAGACGAGTAGAAAATGGTTAAAAAATAGTTTTTGAGTCAAGATTTATTTAGACCATAATTGACATTGACTGGGGGTCCGCCCATTTCGCTTGTTTTTTTTAATTAAAGTGCTCAACTTTGGAAAGTTACTTATGCTCAAAATAAACAAAGTGGCAAAAAACATATATTTATAATACTACCGTTTCTTGCCCCAGCCCAAATATTATAATTTTTGTGTTTGCAATGGCTCTGTGGCATTGGAAGGAATTTAAAAAAATACATTTTTTGTCAGCAAAATGTTTATTTTGAACATCAGTAACTTTTTCAAAATTGGACACTTTGATTTAAAAAATAAAACCAACCATATCGGCGGATCCCCGCTTAATCTGAAATATGAAAAATATTTATATTTTACAAATTGACCGGTGCCTCCATTTAGATTGTTTTTTTAAATCAAATTACTTTATTTTGTAAAAGTTAATTATGCTAAAAAACATTTTGAATCGAAAAAAAAATTGAACTGTTTTCCACCTTGTCTGAATATTATAATTTTTATATTTAAGATGGTTTTGGAACGGTGGAAAGAATTTTAAAAAAATCACTAAAATGTTTATTTTTACCATACACAAGTATTCTATTTACTGCGTTTTCAATTTTAAAAATATTCATATTTCACACCACCCTACTGTCCAGTATTGGTTGACCCTCCCCCACTGGCTGTATTATGTCACACTTGAATGCTGCCTTAAGTTAAGGGGGTTCGGCAAGTTTACCCGCCCGGGGCTTCTCGAAATGGTATAGTTCTTTATAAATAACGATAAGGCCTTAAGTTATAATAAAGGCAATTCATTATTTACCACTGGATTTGTTAGGAAAATATTCGTTGATTGATGCATCTTTTGTACTCGTACAATCACAGACCACCAAAACAAATGGACGGCGCATTGCCATTCAATAACAATGCTTTGATTGCGGTCAACAAACGGTCACAGTCTAAGCGTCAAATTGGAGATAGAATTTTATGTTTTCTTCCAGTGTTGTCAACAAACGGGCACAGTCTAAGCGTTAAATTGGATATAGAATTTTATGTTTTCTTCCAGTGACGTACGTATGATATGTAAATTTGCTTACTTACCTATGAAAGGATAGATTTGTGTGTGCAAGAAAATTCCAAATTATCGATTCGCCGTCGATCGCAGCAAGTGGGGCTTTGTCCATCCACCGCGTGGAAAATTTTACTTAGTGATCTTGGGCTACATCCATATAAGATCCAACTGGTGCAGGAATTGAAGTCACAAGACCATCGTTTGCGTCGTTCTTTCACTGATTGGGCTTTAGAGCAGTTGCAAGCTGACCCATTGCTGGAGTTAACGTAACAGTCAATGGGGTACGATACCGGACCATGATAAATCAATATTTCTTTCAAAATATGGATGGCATCGATCAGGACGAGATGTGGATGCAGCAGGATGGCGCTACGAGCCATACGGCTAACGAAACAATTGATTTATTGCAAACCAGATTTGGTCATAAGTTAATTTCAAGAAATGGACCTTTCAACTGGCCACCCAGATCTTGCGATTTGACGCCTCTCGATTATTTTTTATAGGGCTACGTGAAGTCATTCGTTTATGCTAATAATTATTATAATAATTATAATCCAGCAACACTGGTAGCCGTGGTGGCCATATACCTCAAATCATTTTTAATTATTAATGTCATGTGTTGATCTCTCAAATGAAAACAGATTTTTTATTAAATGTTAGTTATTGTGGTTTTTATTCAAGTTTAAAGTTCTATCGTTCTTAAAAAACACCCTTTAGTATAGTGACCGGCTATAAATAAGCAGAAATGATATAAATGTGACGTCACGATGTGAATAGTGCAGGGCTCCCACGGCTAAATTACAAATTTTATTTAGGAATTTAGGAGGTTTTTTGGAGAATTTTAGGAGAAATAAAGTATTCAAATGAATTTATGTAATTAAATAAACACAACTCTAAACTATACTTAAAAAATAAATAATTATTTAAAAAAATTATAAATAAACATCACTTCTTTTGTACAAATAGGTTACATTGAATAGTTTTTTTAGCCAAATCGCTCGACGAGTATTTTTTTAAAATAAAATTAAAAGTGGGGTAAAATTACTAATTTTGTATATTTAGTATCACAAGGAGAAATTTCTGATGTGACAAAAACTAGGCCAATGATGTTATATTTATTTTTTGAGAAAAAAATGTTAACCGTTTAGTTAATAACTAACAATAATTGTAATGTGGATCTTGTTACTCAAAAATCTCATAATAGGAAATATATAATGCTTAATACAAGAAAACATTCTTTAGATTGTTTACTATAGTATAAATATATTTTAGTTATCATTTAAAAGAAAATTAAAAATCCTTTTGTTTGATATATATAACACGGTATATTTTTGTCGAAAACAAACATAAATATGGTTAAACATGACAATTTTATAGAAGTCTGAAGCTACTACATGGATTTTTTTTTAGGTATATTTAGTTGTTTTTTAAGAAAAGTTTATGTTGTGATAAATCATTTTAAAAATAATTTAATAAACTAGAACCTAAAAATATATATTTTTTTAATTACTTCTTAAAAAAGAAATTTTTTGGCACAACTACCTTAATTAAACGCATTCAGGTTGGCCTATTTATATTTAATTTTAGGAGATTGATGGTAATTTTAGGAGAATTTTAGGGGTTTTTAAGATTTAAGCCAAATTTTAGGAATTTTATGAATTTTAGGAGGTGTGGGAGCCCTGATAGTGTGATACAGTAAAAAAGCACGTTTACAATAAATTTGGGAAAAAAACAAAAAAATTTGTTAATCTTTTACGCCCCCTACCAGCTAAACGAAGCAATTTCAGGTATAATTAACTTAGCTTAAATCGACCTTTTTTGACACCCTGTAAAATGAAATGTCTTTTTTATTACTTTAAGTTGCCTAACTGTAAATTATGTGATACTATACCATTTCGAGAAGCGTCGGGCAGGTGAACCCTCCAAACCCCTTTAAAGAATTTTTATATATTTATTGTTGTAGTCAAAACGCAAAAGAACTATCAGCTACAGATATACTATTCTCAATAATTTTAAATCATTGTGCAACTCAAGGCTTAGAAAAACTCAGAGATTTATACAGCTATAAAATTCTGCTGGCTGGACCAGAACTGCATCCAAAATGTTTACCACATGTGGTCCACATAGTACCCATAATTGATGGTGTAAATTTAATTTACCTTCTTGAAGTGGGAAATACAGCAATTGCTTCAAGTTTATATGAAACATTTAGTTACTTACACACAATGCAGCTGTTGCAGAGTCAAAGAGAAAAATCAGTGTTACAACCAGCTTTTGAAAATTTAGAACTGGCCATAAAAAAACTAAATGACAGCTTAAAAAAGATAAAGAACAGTCCATTTGAGTCGGCACATAAACAAATAATGAAAAAATGGGATGTAATTAAAAAAAAATACCAGGAGTTCTTTAAAAATGCTTCTGATGAGGCTTTATTGAGAGCTGAAACTTTGATATTAGCCTTTTTGGAGAATCTTAATCATTTGTTAAAATTGACTTCTTTAGATGAAGGGATAAACACTGGAAACTTTGTTAAATTGGCTAGCAAAACTGTTAAAACAAGCTTAGCTAATTACAATGAGTTCTTTAAGGTAAAAAGTATTAAGAACTTCTCCCTTGGATCATATCCTTTTTAAATTTGGATGCTCCAAAGTTTAAACAATCATATTATTATTATTTTTTACAAATATGCACATTTTCTGAAGCTATCTATAGAGTTAAATTTAAAACACACACACAAAAAGTGGAACTTCAGCTTCATTTTTTAACTGATTTTCCCTGATGATTTTGCAAATAGAAAATAGCGATTACTAAGTTGTTTGTGATTTTTTTGTTATCTTAATTATGATTTTTCAAATTTCGATTTCGAACTATTTGGTTTGGCCGAATATTCGGTATTTGACTAAATGGTAATCAATACCAATATGTTTTCAAAATTTGTAATCCTTAATGCATTTATACTAGATATACCAGATATTCCCTAACAATTAATAAGTATTTAGAAGAATTTCCTGGATTGGTCCACTTTATTTACATTGACCGAACTAGTCATAGACTAACAAGTCCTACATTGGATCTAACAGTGGATAATATGACTAACAAAAAAGTAAATATAATTCATATATTTCGTATTTATTTTTTCTAAAAAAGTTTTCCTCGCAGATATTCTTTATGATTAACTTTGGAAGAAATCATATAATGGAAGGTACACTATCTTTGATGTGGAAGGACACTTCATTCAATTATGGTTATTTTGTATGGTTTGAGGATAACACAGGGGCTCCAATTAAACCTACTGTTCTACCTTCTAATACAACATCTTTACCTGGAATATTAGCTGAAGATTTTTATTTGTAAGTTATTTTATCAAGTCCTTATTTCTATAAAGAATGAGAAAATGGCCCAAACTAAAAAGCAAAAATTTCAAAAGCTACGAAGCCATCATATTGTTTCAAAGCAGATACATCTAAGTGTATTTGTTTTCAGGAAACTAAAAGAAAGTTGTTTTCCAAAAACGTCTCCAGGAAAAATTAAATGTTACGAATTATTCTGCGTACATCTAGGATTGGTTACAGCTTCTTGTGTTTTGGAACAAACCAGGCGTCTTTCAGCTACTATTTGGGAACTTAGAGGCCACCCATCTCATCCAATAGACTTGTTATAAATTATTTTAATTTTTAATGGTGGTTTTATGCTTTATTTATTTATTTCTGTGATATTTTGTTATTTGTATTATTTGATGTGATTAAAAAAATAAAACATTTCTTTACATCCAATTCGTATAATTTATTGGTTACAGATTATTTCTCACATTAATTATATTTGATAACAATCATATTTAGAGCATTTAATTTAATACTATTGTAACAGTCTTTAAATATTGTACATTTTTACAATACCAGCATTTTTTGCACATTTATCTTACAGTATAAACATTTATGTAAATTTTAAAATTTGATTTACAAATAGTGAGGCTTAATTTCATATTTGCGTTTACAGTTTATAAAAGCAAACTGATTTAATGTTGGGTACATAAAATTAAGTACTTAAAATATAAATTATAATTAAAAAATAAATGTTCACTTAATAAAAATTAATTCAGATCTAGAATTATGAAGTGAGTATTTCACAAAAAATATATTATCACAGGTATATTAAATCAGTTTCTTTCAAATTATAATTATGTCCTAGCTAAATCTACTTAAAATCATGAGATTTAAATAATACTATTAAATTATAATATTTTAAAAATAAAATAAATAATTGTTTAGTGGGGCAGTAAAGGGCAAACACTATAATTAACTTTACAAATAAATATGTATAATCATCTAATAATGCACATTTCGATGTATGATAGGTACGAAAATATAGGCTTTACAACGATTTTATATTACAGGGCGTTATGCAAAACACATAATAGGTTTATACTTTTTTAGGGAATTTAGCAAATCGCGCAAACATTATTGAGCACTTTTATCAGTCAAGCATTTTATTTATTTGGCAATTTTCGTCTTATATATTTTTTGTTGGGGTTGGGTAGTCATTTTTACTTTATAGTAGTTTATATTGATTTATATAATGGTTGAAATTGCCATTGTACCAGCATTGTTGGACAATACAAAAATACTTAGTTACGACGATGAGTTATATACTACCCAACCTCCTAGTTTAGACACAGCAATAATATAATATATTTTATAATTGTTACTTCACGTTTACTACAGTAAAATAATTGAATCGGTGGGATCACAATACAAGTCCAAAAGTAAAAATGTTAACAAATTATATCATAAAATCAGTTTTATACTTCAAAATGAATTTTTGTGGGAATATTTCAACTATTTTATGAAATATAATAAAAATATTTTGTAAAATTGATTTTAGAAAATGATTTGTCAAAATGAATATGTTCTTAATCTCACCAATTCAATTGGTGTAAAAGAATATTAAAACATTAGAAATATCTTTTAAAACTTTTGTGTCTTATTTGTACTAATTTATGGTCCAATTTTGAGTAACCTGTAAACTAATCTAACTTTTCTACAAAGTTGCAATTTTTTCGCTTTTACCAGGAGAAACTTGCACTTTTCAGCTCGCAATACCTGCATTGTTAACCATATTTTTTGTTTCTAAAAAATTAAAAATGGTTTTGTTGAAGAAAAAAGCCTCAGTTTGCCATCAACATCTGGCCATTTAGTATAAATTTGCAAAACGCAATAAATTGCAATAACAAATAGATTACCCAGTTATTATATAATTTAAAAAATATGTTGTTTCTTGATGTTATATGTTGTTTCTTAAATGTTATCCATCTAATTTCAAGCGCTTGTGGAAAAAATATACACGCGCGGAAAGTATCACTTTTCGTACTAGTGTGTACTCCCATGTTTAAAACACACATTCCATGATAAGAAATGTTTTAAATACACATTGACAAGTTTTTAGCGGATTTCGGTTTTTAGTTAATTGTCATACAATCGGTTTTGTCGTCCAAATAAAGTGCCCTTCTTGTGAAAAATGTATTTTTGGTTTACCTTAGAAAAATAGTATACTGGGGTAAGTCGACTTATCCGGAAATGTGTTTTTTGCATTAAGCTGATCTCATTAAACATTTCGAAGTAAGTCGACTTAGTATAGTATCTAATTCTGTTTATAAACTCGTTCTGCAAGCTTCGCTCCTGCCTAATTAAAATTCGTGACTAAAATGCCGTTTATAAAACTTGCATCATTACACACATTTATAAATTTTTAAGAGAAACATTATTTGATTTGTATTATTGTGTATGTCATTGAATAGTATTTTGGATTATAAAGAAATTCTCATTATGTTAAATTAAAATATTTCTAATGTTTCAATGCATCTTAAAATATGGGATATTAAGAATCTAATATTTATGAAAACAAATAAAATAGCAAAAACTTTTTTGCAAAATCGTTAAATTATTGATCAATTTGATTATTTTATCTAAAATATACCGGCAAAATAAATAAATATTAGTTTATATTTCAAACGGTAGTTTCTACATCGCTTATATTATCGATATTACAACTACCAATGCGCCTGGGCCGGTGATGATTATCGATTACATACGAATTAATTTCGGAATCCGACAGACACGGACTCTGGTGCGAGTTAACGTAAAGAGATCGCGACAGCTTCGGTTCGGGGCCTCTTCGTATTTGTTGGTACAGTTCGTCGATATCGCTAACGGAAACGCTACTGGCCCTGCTACCGGACCCGACGCCCTCTAGATTGTGCGAGGGGTTGATGTAGATCCGCGGTATGGACTCGTTGAGTCCGCTAACCGAGGACTCTATCACGCTAAAGCTGATCTCGCTGGGCAAGTTTTGGGGCTTTGTGTTTCGTCGACACGTGTCGTATTTCTCGTTGAAATAATCGTTGTTTATTGTGCTGTCGCTCGTGATGCTTTGTATGTCGTTTATCTTGAAGTCTTCGGTGGTGACGCTTAGGCTACCCATCGGGCTGTTTTCTCTGCGTATCGATGGCACTTGTTCGCTGTTTTCCGTGAGAAAGCTTACTTGATTTGGCAGTAAACTCTTTTCGGGGCTCGCCTTGTCCAAAATCGAATCGGATATGTTCTCGGAACTGTACTCTAATGTGCACTGCTGCGATACTGATCTTAAATTTTTATCGCTCGCTTGAGATGATGCGGGTAAGTTGTATTTTTTACGGGTTTTATTCTTCAAGATTTCTTTTCTTCTAAGCCGCTCGGCGTTAATTACAATATTCTCCATCGGTACGTTGTTTAACGAATGATATTCGTCCGCGCTATCCGAAAATATATTCGGGTTTGTCTGTTGTATTTTTCGCACCTGCTCAACGTGAATATTCGTATTGTTAACTTTCGAATTTGTACCAAACATACTTTGTTCGTTGCTATTTTTTTGTTTTGGCAGTGCCTTTGGTTCTGAAAATATAGAAGCTGTGTCGCTGTTCAAATCTCTGGGCCTTGTGGTCTGTAAATTATTCTTCTTCAATTGATGTCGTTTTTGCCTTTTAAAGAACTTTCTGGCAACAGTACTTTGGTGAGGGTTATAGAATACCTCGGCTGCATTTGTAGGATTTTCTATAATATTTGGAATTAAATTACTTCTGTATTGAGCTCGGTGTAACACAACCAAGTTAACGTTATTGATTTTGGCACCCGGACCATCGCTGTAAGACCCATTTAGATCCACCGCACCTTTTAAAATATTACTGTTATGTGAATTTGATTTGGTGTGACTAGTCGAAGTTCTACTGCTACTCCTCGAAAGTACTTGGTGCTCGGTGTTGACCACAATCGGCGGCAGAGGGAGTTGTTGTATCTGAGGTACAGCGGGGGTAGTGTCGTGCACATTTCGTGATCTAAATATTCTTTTGGCGCGCCACCACTTGTTGCATACGACCCACTGCGTGCGCACGTCGTTTCTGGCAACGCAATAGAAGAACAAAGTGAACGCGCTCAATGTTGTCGATAAGATTGCGAACGCTATGCTAAAGAGATCTTCTTCGAATGAGACCAAGTTGAAAGGAGGAACTGTGGAGAATGCGCAACTCAGCCAAGTTGCTAGGTAGAGAAGTACAAATATTATGTAAGCTTTTAGTTGTGCTGCGGGTGCATGCTCGGGGTCTTCCACCTCACTGGAAGCAGTTTTGCTCGACACGCTTCTAATGCTTCCAGTTTCCATATTGGGAAAATTGGGTTCAAGTAAATCCAAATCTACATGTTCAGTGGCTTGCGTACCTTCGCTTAAATGCCCGTTAGCGTCTAGATTGTAAATCGCACATCGAATTAATAGGAAGAATATAATAAGAAAAATCATTAAAATGGCGAAAGGAATGTATAGAGCACTTAAAGCAGGGCCGGTTCGCAAGAAACAATGTGTTGCCGATGCGTATTCATTCATATTAATTGCGGCGGATAGTCCACATATTATTAAACCGACTCCCCACCCAACCAGGTACAAACCAAGTATAGGTTTTTCTATTGGTTGATCGGATGGTAAATCGTCGTCTTGTAAATCGATGATATCGTTCTTGCTGAGTCTTTTGTACATACAATTAACGCCGACGCACATCCACAAAAGTGAGCATAGTGATAAATAATGAAGACTCATACCCACAGTCTGACACACCTTAACATCTTCTGTTTGGTATATACCAAACACATACATAAAACACAGCAAAGAAATCGAAATCCACATGTTGATAAGCGAGTGTTTGGCCTTCTTAGGCATTTGTATCGTCGTATAACACAATAAATAAGTCAATATAATTATAAGCAGGGAAGCAAACAATATAAAACTACCTACATATATCGCTGGGTGCGACCATTTGAATTTGGCGCCCACTTGCGCATCTTGCAAGTGCGTTACGTCTTGCAACAAACCAAAGTAACCGAATTGGTTACATGAAAATACCAAGTGATCTTGCAGCTCATGACTAAAGGTGCAACCTTCTCTAGACCAACCGCCTAAGTGATTATTCAGATATGGGTTCCACCAAACCGGAATGAAAGGGGTAACTTCGTATGTCACTGAAGCTGGCGTCCTAAGCATCACGTAAATTGGTTCTGTTAGATTGGTAACATCAAATTCAACTAAAAAAAAAAATATTTTTACATACACCTTTCAAAAATGTGAGGGTATACTAAATATAAATACACTTTGCACAAAATTAACGCATAATTTTATAACTGAAATTACAGAATTAATTTAATTAAATAAAAACTTTTTTATGAATTACTAAAAATCGAAATTATGGCATTTTCGTTGTTTTACAGTTCTGGTTTTTTTTTGTATTTTTTTACCAATTCTAAGCAAACGTGAATGTTAATAGACAACTTTATTGCAGAAAATGCGCAATGTCTATTATTCTTCATCAAGAAGATAGAAACCAGGTTTATATTGCTCATTCGCCTGTCATTAATAAAAATGCAAAATCTAGACTTGTCTGTAAAGAGCACTCGCCCCCAACCGGCTTCACCCCAGTGAAGGTGATCACGAGCAAATACAAAGCGATGGTCCTGTTGCTCTGTATGGCATCAAATTTGGCTCTCGTAATCTCCGCCCTATGGTATCTTGGCTGATTCTTACCTTATAGGCATTTCTGAGCGCCCTCCTTGTTACAAATCTTTATATAAGTGCTTGTATAAAACAACGAAAATACCATAATTTTGTTTTAGTAATTAATTTTGTAGAAGGTAAAAAAAATGTTTCATATTTATAAATTATGCGTTTAATTAGGAGCGAAATGTAACACAGAGAAATTGTTTTACTTCATTCATGGAAAAATTATAAAAATAGATTTGTTTCATCAAGCCGTTACGTTAGTTCTCGGGTTACTCACATGCACAATAACAAAACAGTACATTTAAACTGTAACTGATTTTCTTGTTGCGCATGCATAGAGATCTATAATTGAATTTTTATGACTTGACCCCTATGTCATCAATGTAAGGATATAGCTCGGGCTGTCCTATTATATTTCCAAGCGCTGCACAGTGGCCAATTTTCCTTTAAAACTGGCCAAAAATCAAAAACATAAATAATACACGAATATACACGAACTGCCAGTTTTTTCGGAAAATTGGCCACTGTGCGCTGGCATGCTTCAATTTAGCGATACTTATGAAAAAAATCGTTTTTTTACATTTTACATCGATGACGTAAAGCCTATGTCTGACGTGCAACTTCTCGCGGCGACTTTGTCGCGAAGACCAGGTCGCCGCGGTTTTTTGGTGTTCACACGATGCAACTAATCAGCTGATCTAACTTGTCCTAAAATAGAACATGTTATATTTTCATTAGTGATGGGTCGTTCATGAATGAGTCGTTCAAAACGTACAGCTCAGTTAAGTGAGCGCTGAACGAACGACTCAGCTCTGCTAAATGACTCGTTGGAATCGCCATTGCTCGCCAGGCGCAATTCGAACGATTCATTTAGCAGAGCCGAGTCGCTCAGTGAGCGGCGCTCACCTAACATTCCTAAACACTAAACGAATGCTAAACTTCCGGCGCGTGCTGTGTGTGTTGCATATAGGTAGAGTGACTAACATTCACTGTTGAGCAGTGGCGTAGGGTGTATTTTCTAGAATAATTAAATAAAACAATGAAATTTTATCAAAAATTAGTGAAACATATTTTTATTTTGAATTAACATAAAATTAATATGTTTGTATATAACAAATACATAAATTATACAAAATAAAATAAACAATGAATTCCAAACAAAAAATATAACTCTAAAAAAACAAAAAACAAATATTTACAAATTTGCATTTAGGAAAAGTAGCATTGAAACTTTTTCACCCTGTATAAATATATCTGCAATACTAATTCAGCTATTTTAAAATCCCCAGTATGCTCATTTAATGTTTGTTATTTATGGTATAATTATAAATATTTATTTGAACGATTAGATATAATATATAATCGTTCAAATAAACGGCTCAGTGTGAACGACTCACTTAAGTGAGCTGAACGAAATGAGCGCGCTCACTAAAAAGAGTCGTATGACCCAACGCTAATTTTCATGCAATAAAGTTACTAAATATTTTGGTTGGTACTCAACATTTATCAGCTGTGGAATGACAGATGAGTTTTATCTTGTGATTTGCGTTTATTTAAATGCCTGTAAAAATAAACCAAACAGGCTCATGGGGTTTTTACACCACAAAATACTTACAACGAAAAATTGTTCAACTTAGTAAATTTCGGTTAAGTTGGCAATCCTAGTAGAAAATAGCGTCAAAATGGTTGCATTGTGTGAACACCCTAGAGGCGAGAAAGTCGCTGCAACTGGTCGCCGCAACAAAGTCGCCGCGTGAAGTTGCACCGTGGACTTAAGGGTCAATTAAAAAAAAATTATAACGTAAATTTAAGTAATTACCCGCAAGTTAGATTAAATCCACTCGCCATTTTTTTAATGTTGATTGAATCTTTCCAAAAAAAGTTATCTTCTGTATTTAACAATAATTATTTACTTTGCTTTAAATATTTGATTTGTATACAGTCCGTTCAAGTTGAGTGCTGTGGTGGGGGATCATGTGGCCGTTGATTAAATTAAATATCGAATCATCGCGAGGTTTCGGTAACAAGAAGATGATTTATCAGTGCCGCGGCTTGCCGTTTGTTCGTACAGAGCGGCTACCGAAATAAACATGTATTTAATTGTGCCTGAACATAGAGATGATGGACAGGTTGACATTCCTTAGACCGCTCAACTTAGCCTGAACGGACAGTACCTACTGCTTTAGAGTTCAAAGAAAAAGTAAACACTTCCTTTTTAGGAAAGATAAAATCAAAATTTAAAAATATGAGTAGATATATTTTTAAGTTTTTATAAAAACGAAAAAAAATATCTGCACATTTTTTGAAAAAAATTTGAAATTTTTCTAAAAAAAAACAAAACATCTTAAAAACTTTTATAATAATTTAAAAACAATTTATAACAAGGACAAGTGTCGCCATCTAGAGTGTCTAGAGTAGCATTTGAGGTTGGACTAAAATACTTCCCGACACAAAAAAAATGGGAGACTTCTATTAGAAATCATCGTTCGACAGCTTGGTTTCGGAAAATACGTGATTTTATACTTTTATATCCAGAAAAACAATGTTTTCTTCCACGAGATGAATTTAAAACGCACTACAAAGCTAACTACAGCGTCTTCTGCCCCAACTATTTTCGGGGAATACCCTTTTCTTAAGAATAGGTATAATAAGTAACAGTATGTTACTGAGGCCTTATTGTAAATTACAATTTACAATAAGACCTCATATTAGCCGTTAAGTACCCGGATAATAAATCTCTATTAAAGAAAAACATCATAAAACTTGGCAACAGTGTATCGTTTAGTGACTTGCAGTTGTTTATTGAATAAATTAGTATTATAGACTATAAATAAAAAAAATTTTGATACTGTGGATCTTGCAGTGAAGATTGAATTAAATGATCGAATTTCAAAAGGCGAGTCCAATCTGACCATAAAATACATTCCTGGTATACCAAAAATTTGTAATTTAAACTAAATTTGCCCAAAGAAAAGATCAAGACTGCATATGTGATATTCTACCAAAATGTTCGAGGGTTAAATATAAAAATTGATGAACTTTACTCTAATTTATATGTTAACTATATATATAATTTTGTAGCACTTACAGAAACATGGTTGTCAGCCAATGTATCTTTTTCGTAGGGATAGAAATTTTATTTCACTGGATGTAAACAGAGGTGGTGATGTATTACTAGCATGTGCGTGATTTTAATATTTCTAATATGCAGCCTAATAACCGTAACGATGTTCATTATCAAAATTATTGTAATTTTCAAAATATATCTCAATTTAATGATATTCATATTATAAGGATTATTACTTTAAACATTTTCGCATGTTTTGTATTCAATATTATCCCACTCAGTTTAAAAAACAACTCACATTGGTAAAGAGATTAACTAAAGATTGGTATCAGGTATACTTAAATCAGAGTCAGAGTCTAGCCTACAGTCTGATCCCAACAAATTTTGGTCATATGTAAATTCAAAGAAAAGTAGCTCGCGTATCCCAGGCAAAATGTTTTCTGGCGATAGTCTTTTAGAATCGCCATAGGAAATTGTTAATGAACAACAGTAGCGTATACCTAAAGCTACATGCTCGAAATAACATCTCCCCAACTACTTGTAATATTATTTTAAGTATACATATACATGAGTTTACTGAAGACGACATCCTTGGAGCATTTCAAAAACTAAAATGTGGTTTAACTGCCGGAGATGACTTAATTCCAGCATTTTCAATTAAGGATTGCTCTCATACCTTTGTAACCCCAATGTTAAAGATGTTTAATCTTATATTAAGAACTTCTGAATTTCCAAGTATCCGGAAGTTAACTCGTGTGCAGAGCTGTGCGGTACTCGTGTACAAGTACTCAAACACTGTACTCCAAGTACTTTCAGTGTACTCGGACTCAGTCCCGAGTACTTTAATTAGAATGTACTTATACTTGTACTTGATACATTTAAGATTGCAAAAATGTACTCGAGTACTTTCCCGTGTACTCGAGCACTTTCCCGTGTACTCGAGTACTTTCCCGTGTACTCGAGTACTTTCAAAGTATGAAATGAGTACATTTTTATGCAGTGAGTTTGGCGTGGGTGCACATATGTGCAAATATGTGCGTAGGTTTTAAAAATTTGGCAACACTGCTCAGACTTGTCAAATTACGGACATGCTGCCTGAGGCAGCATGCCTCACACGACAGCCTCAATCAATAAAAAGACACAGGAAAGAGCATTGAACGAAAGGTTTTTACTTACGTATGAAATGTAATTTTGTTTATATTTTAGTAGAATTAAGATGACAATATTCCTCAAAAAGATAATTCAAATATAAAGCTAAGTCAAAGCAATACGAGATACTAGCCGGCCTTGATAATTAACATAAAGCGAAATATCAATATTTGATGAAGGCAATCTTACCTAATTTGACTCCAACTACAGCTGAAGTAATGTCTTCCATTTCCATCAGTTTATCATCAACAGGAAACAGTTTATTGTTGGCATGCATCGCTATTAAAATACTGTAGGCTTTGTTTGGAAGAACATGCTCAAAATCTTCTTGTAATTGATGGAATAATGTGTCAGGAATTGTGATTGAAGCTTCCGCAATTTTGCCTTGGAACGCGAGAGCATCTATCTGATTATTTGTGGCGCACGAAAACAAGGAATCAAAATGATTGTTTGGATTTATGTACCAAGTGCAAGTCATTCCCGCAAAACCGTCCTTCTTTTCCGGAAATACTTCCAAGGCTAGGTTACTCTAAAATAATAAAAAAGATTCTAAAAATGATATTTTTAAATGTAAAGTATATTTTACCTTTAATATTTGTGAATTCAAATTTTGCCTGGCCATAACTTCAGTTATATTTATAAATACAGAACTAATTCTGTACTCTAAATCGGCTTTTCTGAAGTAACTTTTGGGCAAATCCAAAAGATTATTGGCTACATCAGCCAATATAACTGCCAAATTATCCCGTGGATATTTTAGATAATTTTCAATAGTTGTTACAGCATAAATTAAATCCATTACATCTCTAAATAGTTTTAAATTGGAAGTATAATTTCTGAAATGTTTGGCACTTTCTAGTATACTGGAGTTAACTTTGGAAAACTGTTCTAGTATTTTTGTAGTATCTGATATGTAACTGCAATAACTGGTGTTTAGATCTTTCCATTCACCTTGCTTTGAACAAGAATAAGATGCTTTTTGCTGTTTTACATCATAGTTTAAATTAAGAGATTCACAAGGTATTGTGACAGTGTAATTTACCAACGTTCTTGGCCAGTTATAGGTACCTTTGTTATTAGTGCTTACAGTCATGGGGCAATATTTGGTGTTATTTGATATTACCACTACAGTAATTTCTTTGGAGTGGTTGCCCCTGTTTGTTAAAAATTGACAATTCCATATGCCAGTGTGATTTTGTTTTAACCTCTTTATTGTTAAAATACTTATAGAAAGACCCTCCCTGGGTAGTTGTTGTTTTTCATAAATTATATCGTTAAAGTATTTCTTAGGGTCTGAATCCAGCCACTTCCATTCAATCTTTGAATCCAAGTCTGAATCAAAGGAGTCTAATATTAAAGGTATTCTGCATTGTAACTGAAGTTTGTCTCCTTCAAAAACCACTTGATTTTCACTGGGTCTCATTTCTAACATGGGAAATCCATTATTTTCGATGGGGGATTTACAGTGTATGTCTTCACCAACTTTAATTTTCCTCAAAGGAATATCATTAAATTCTGGAGGTGAATTACAAATTGGATTTGATATGAGCTTAACACCCTTTTTTGCAGTCCAGTCTAATAACCATAATAGGCCACAGTCACAGTTTAAGGGATTGCCTGATATGTCACTAAAAAGTAAAATATTACAAATTTAATATTACTATTGACAAAATTTATTGTGTTGTAAATTACAACTTGTAATGGTTTTAACTTTATATGTTATATTTTTCAAAATGCCAAACAAATTTTAATGAGTCACAAACTATTTTTGGGAAAAAATCATAGGGTATTTTTTTAAGATTTGTAGTTAACAAAATTTTACACAGTTAACACATTTTAACCTTATTGTATTTTACTTCCTAAGCAACTCAAAATTAAAAAAAACTGGTAGTAATTTTTGCTCCAAACCAAAATGCATAAAAAAGCTACACAAAAAATATACTAATTAAAGATTAACATGTATCTAATAAGTTAATGGTAATAACACTACTAATAGTAATTAAAAATAGTAATCTTTCAAATATATATTATCGTTTTTTTGACAATTAATTTATAATAATTTTTATATAAATGACCAAATTTATAATTTATACTAAAAAAAGTAGTATTTTATGTTTTAAAAATTACGATGAACTCGTTATTTGTTCACGTTTAACTTTGTAATAAGTAACAGATTCAGAACTAGGTTCCAAGTTAACATTTAAAAAATTAAAAATTAACATTTCGTTTTTTCCGTGTATAAAAGAGTAAAGCAACAAAATGTTGTTTTGAAAAGTAGGTTTTAAGTTTTTAAGCACTTAAGTTTAAATAATTCCGCAACAGTGTGTCTCTACCTGAAATAATCCACACACTTGTTCTGAAAACAATTTAAATAAGGTTGATATGGTTGACAGATATATTTTATGATCAAGTGTCCAAAAGTCATAGGCCGAACGTTCGATAAAATTTGGATTTGGGATGGGGTGTACAATTCTCAGGCGCTCGTCGAGCAGTTTCAGTGAGTCAGTATTGCCTTGCAGTTGTAAGAGTGTACATAGCGATTATTATTGTATTTGGTTTAAACATGAACTAGCTTTTTAAGATACTTGATCCTATTTAATAAGTTATTATGTAGTATGAAAATGTTGTTATAAATAAAAATACATAATTATAAAAATTAAAATCCCAAAATAGATATGTATGTCATAAGCAGTGCTGTCAATTTGCGGGTAAATGCTCACATCGGTGAGCATTTAGATATGCTGTGGGGTAAAGTGTGAGGATTAACTTTTTGTGAGGATTTGTGAGGATTACTACTATACTACTGGAAACATTGAATTATTTTAATAGTATACAATAAAATTATTAATTTATTTAAAAAAATTATTTATTTTTCGGTAAGTCCGGCAACACTGATGATCGATAGTTCAGACTGTTGACTAGAGATGGCACTGACAGTCTATGACATCACATACTTCCACACGAATGGAAGTATGTGTATGACAATATAATTCATTAATATTAGAACCAATAAAATGCCAGTATTCCATAGTGACGTATTTTATCACAGCGGCAATAATTTTTATCATCTTGTTTACACGTTACTATGAACTTTGACGTTTTTTTGATTTGACATTTGTTGTCATTTAAATACTGTGTTTGTTACCTAAATGATTAAAATAATGAATTATAAACTCTAAAAGATCGATGGGTTGGTGTAAACGATAATAAAATTAAGGTAAGTTTGAATAAATAAGGTTTATTAAAGTCTTTTTATATTTTAAAGCACATTTTAATTTCAAATGTCAAACTAAAAATTCGTTAAATCCTAAAATTCATTATATTTTCTCACTAAATATAACTCGTGGTATGATTAATTATCGATGATATTTACTCATTAAAACCGAAGCAGCACATTTCACTCGTCCTGCGGACTCGTGAAATCTGCAGCTCGGTTTCAATTCGAAAATATCATCGATGATAATCATACCACTAGTTATATTATGGGTGACAATACAATTCATTAATATTAGAACCAATAAAATGCCAGTATTCCATAGTGACGTATTTTATCACAGCGGCAATAATTTTTATCATCTTGTTTACACGTTACTATGAATTTTGACGTTTTTTTGATTTGACATCTGTTGTCATTTAAATTCTGTTTTTGATATATATCAATAAAATAATGAATTATAAACTCTAAAAGATCGATGGGTTGGTGTAAACGATAATAAAATTAAGGTAAGTTTGAATAAATAAGGTTTATTAAAGTCTTTTAATATTTTAAAGCACATTTTAATTTCAAATGTCAAACTAAAAATTCGTTAAATCCTAAAATTCATTATATTTTCTCACTAAATATAACTCGTGGTATTATTAATTATCGATGATATTTACTCATTAAAACCGAAGCAGCACATTTCACTCGTCCTGCAGCTCGGTTTCAATTCGAAAATATCATCGATGATAATCATACCACTTGTTATATTATGGGTGACATTACAAAATACAAACAAAATCATGTGTGCCAACAGAATAGGATTAAAATGTAATAAAAACAAAAACTTCGTTTATTTTGCATGGGTTAATTTTATTTGATTAAAAGTTAGAGTAATGGATAAGTGGCTTAAGAAATTAAGTTCACATACGGTAAGTTATCAATAATATACTGTTGAAAAACTTTATTTTAATAATTATTTTTTAAGTGAGTATTTACTTATAAATAAAATTAAAAAAACCTTTTTAAATAAATCATAAATGGTTTATTGGGCAGTGACTGGCTTATATTTGAATACGATTCTGCTTATAGGTAAAAGATAACTGTGATATTAAAATATTTTACTTTTTTTTTTCCTTTAAAATTTTATTTTTGTTTGGTTGTATATAGAATGATTATTTATTTAATTTATTAATTGTTTATTATTTGTTTTTAATAAAAAAATCTGTGATGATATAAATGTTTTTTAATATAAATAAGTGATAACTTATTAAATTGTATATCTTATTATTTTTTTAAGTTTTGGTGAGGATTTTGTGAGGATTTTGATTTTATTGCGAGGATTACTGTGAGCATTTTGAAAACCTATTGCGGGTATTATCGCAGTTCTCGATTGACAGCACTGGTCATAAGGCTGAGAAGTGAGTATTTTTGTGCTGAGCTCAAAGTTTCAAGGCCAACGCGTAGCAAAGGCCTACAATTCAGTGAAGCACAAAGACACTTCTCAGCCAAATGAAATACATTTTTATCTGCAAGGCACAGTTTAATTTGTTAAACGATACATACTTACAATTATAATACCAATTATTGAAAGTATAAAGTGAGGTTAGACAGCTTCAGAGCTGTCAGCAGTTATCAAAATTTTTTAATGGCCCTAACAGGTTTTTACGGGCTAAGATGTAAAAAACTTCAGCATTGACAATAATAAAGCTTCAATTATAGAACCCTTGAAGATATTTTATTTTATTTTGTTTGTATAAACTGGTATGGTGGGGTTTAAAATGGTCCCAAATCCGTTGTAAATTTTGCTCTAAAAAATCCCTAATATTACTTTTTGAAATTTCGACTCCACAGTTGGCCATGAGTTTTAGTTAAAACAAATGACATATGCATTTAAAGTCTTTTTCAGAGATCTATCCAACAAAAAAAATCGGTTAAAAAATACAAATTATTATTAATATATTAAAATAAGTGTTTTTAAAAGTTTTATGAAATTTGAATCCAGCCTTATTGGAAATTTTATGAATGGTAACTTAGGGTTTAAATGTTTTGGTCTGTGGCATTTATAACCCAAATTTGGGTTGTAAATGCCACAAACCAAAACCCGTTAATGGGTGTTTGATTTAAAGTAATTCAATGTTGCAGACATTGTGGTTAATGCAAGAATCGGTTGGTCTACATGTCCAACATAAAAAAGAGATTGTGTTTGAAGCATTGGCGGATCCAAGGGGGGGGGGGCGATTGGGGCGATCGCCCCCCCCGGAAGTAAATTATCAAGTTGAAATTGAACATAACTTTTTAAATTAATATAGAAAATAATAAAAAAATAGAATAAGTTTAATTTCAACTTTCTTATTATTTACAAAAATTTTCAACTCCGCCCCCCCCCCCCAATGACACATTCTAGATCCGCCCCTGGTTTGAAGTAAGGAATTAACCTTCAACATCCAATCATGTGAATTTTTCTGCCAATATGGCATTTGTTCAACTATTTAGAATCTTTTAATATCAGTAACTGTTATCAGTGATGTCTACGTGAACTATTGAATATTTCGTCGACCCAGAACCAGACTATTCTATGTCCATTTTTTTTTAAATTTCAGGTTTCAAGTCCAATGGAGTCTATTTCCGAAGCCATGTATGCCAATAAATTCCAAGTGCGCCTATCCCATATAGTTGTTAAAATCCGTGCCAAAATATACTATGTCCTCTTGCCCAATAAGAATTTAGGAATTCGCATCAGGTAAGGACATAAAATAAATTGGCTCCAGATTTTTTAATTATATTTATACAGGGTGTCCCAGAATATGTGGGCAATCTCCCGGATTTATATATAACACATAAAAATAATACAAGTTCCTATAAATTTTTTTCATAAACTACATTTTATTGATGTCGATCAAGATTACCTTTTTTAGTTTAAGGTTTAAGGTGACTAAAAATATTATTGTTGTGCCTTTATAGTACAAGGTGTTAAAAAAATAGCATTACTCTGTTAGAGCTAGTCCGTCCCTGGCAAACTAAATAAGCCAAATGTGATTAAAAGTGCCCACCCTAGTGGCAATTTGGGAAAAGCCTTGTGACAGCATGGGTCAAGATACTTGGAACAGATTGTTGATCAAGAATTGGTCCAGATTCTTGATCAAGACCATTGGGCAAGAGTTGGGCCAGACTGTGGCCAGAATTTGTTACTAAACTTAGGAAAATCAATGTTTTGGAAGCATTATTTCAAACTCAACGCTAAACTGTAAAGAACTGACGTTTTCAAACTTATTGACTACATTATAATTGAGAACCACTGCAATGCTATACTTTTCTGGTCAAAGTCTGGAGCCAGTCTGGATAAAGAATCTTGGTCAAGTGTCTTGATCAAGAATTGTCAAATTGTGTAAAAAGTGCTTCTCCAAGTATAGGAACTTGTCATATTAT